TTCCCTACTACAAAGGGTAAAACAGTATCCTTCAGATTTAAACTTTTCTTCATGTGAAAGAGCAAACATTAAAAGCAATCATTACTATTTGTAGCTTAATTGATTTGGGAAAATCCTGTTGACTTCAGTTCCTTCTGAAATCTTATGCTGGTATTACATAAAGAGAAATATTTATCTAAAATGCTGTAATTATTACTAGAAAATTAATGCTTTTTGCCTTTCTTCTGTGACTAGTATAAACAAAGATTATCCCTGGATATTGTTAGTGAGGGAGACCTAACTGTGATTTACTTTGTTCTTTCATTGCTTTTGATGTAGGAGAACTGAATTAATTACCTTACCAAGAGGTGATCAAAGCATGGAGAAGAATATGAGCTTAATAGTTTATTGTTCTAGAAACTGCCACATCGAAGTAGGAAAGGTAAACCTGCTGTAATTCCTTAGAATATCACACAGACATGCCCATATGTGTTTAAGGCCTGGCCCACCATTCCACTATACAGTCCCTTCATCTGTTGCAAGGGGACCAAATTTCTGGGTTCCACCTGATTTTAAGGCAACTGGATGTGGGTGGAGTCTAGTCACTATTTCTAGCTCTCAGGCTTCAGATTGCACTCCTGGGATCTCACCTCTTGTTTGCTGTTCTTCTGTGGAAAGAAAAATGCTGACATGCAGCCAAACTAGACCCTGAAACCCATACCTAAGACCATCTGTTACTGACACAGGCCACGCCAAGCATTCTGAGTTCTAATTAACCCCATCAATGACATTGTCACAAAGCAAGAAACACTGGTTTAGCAAAAGAATATTTCTGTAACTCGCATTAGGGATGTTTATTTTGTAACTTAAGTTACGAATGTTTTACAACAGAAGTCCTGAGATGCACCTTCCTGTGGTCCAAGGTTTGCCAGTGTTTCAGGCTCAACAGAGTTCCTCCAGTTCCTGCAAGTCTTCCTTCTAGGCACATTGTCAGCATTTTTAACAGAAACCTCCCCCCCCCCCCCCTTCCTCTCC